ATGCAGAGTGGCAAGTATCTCACGTTTTGTTCGTACACGATAAATCAGACGTCCTTGCAGCCGGACTCTCCTGCCGTTTTCTTCTAGGAAACTTAAGTAACGCAATCAGCGTGAGTGCTTTTTCCAATTTTCCCCGGGTGCCTTTGGGTGCCTTTGGGTGCCACTTGGTCCTTGGCAGGTCCCGTCGTCCTCGCTTTGCAGTATTGCATTTAAATAAAATACAAATCCAATTCATTGACCAGCTCTAAAAGCAAATTGAGTTATTTAATTTGCTTGGCAATTACACGAGCTGACTTCTCCGAACAATGGGCTGCAATTTGTTGCGTTTCACAGCGCTTTTATTCCATTGTAACAATAATTCATATCCGCCATTGTTGCAGCTAATGCGATTTCGTTCATTAGGAGGCAATGAAGCGAAAAAATTGATGTCTTTTGTAGGCATTTTTAAAGAGTACTCAAGTAGTAACATGATGATTGCCGTTGTTAGTTTACATTTTAAATATTCACAAAAAGCACTTTATAGACCAGAATGGCCTTTATTCCCCAAATCCGCTATAAATAGACGAAAGTTAGATGGGCCAAAGGCCCCGCTGCACAATTGGCGTTGCATAAATAATGGCAACGAGTTTCGCCGACTCCCAGCCACTTCCACTGCCACTGCCACACCCACATCCACATCCACATCCACTTCCGCCGCTCCAGCGACAGCTTCCGCTGCAGAAACGCAAGTGTGCATTTCCGTTTGTTGCTTATTGCTAAAAGCATATCACTCCTCGATTGACAATAAGAAATGAAATTTGCTGACAGCACACTGGCACACAAGCTCCGGCACAAAGCTCCATTTGCAATGCCATCAAAAATGTATGAATTTGTTGATTTGACGGAAGCAAATATTTGGCAAGCGGATGTGTGTCGTGCTGGATCGTCCTGCTCCTTTTGGCCAGGAGCATCTGGAAAACGTATTTCATTTAGCCCGGCAAGACGCAAAGCAATCGACTGCCAGCCCTTTGGCTCCTATTGATCGTCGGCCAAATGCCCATTTATCCAACCTCGCATGCAATTAGTTTGCGCTGCCAGCAAAATGCATTGGCTTCACTAAGTCCTATATGCACACGGGCATGTGTAAATCTATTTTTCGTAAATATATATAAGCGTTATCGCCGCCGGCGGTCGTGGCCAAAAATATTTGAACGCATATGCATAGTTGGATGATTTTGCCATCCTCAACGAAATGCAATTTGCGGCGCAGCGCGTGCCCAATCTTTAATGTGGCATATTCCAATCGAACATTCAACCCATATGCTCGCTGAGAGCTGACAAAACGAGGACTCTAAATAAAATACGAAAAGGATCGAAACGAGCTGAAGAGACGTTACATTGAGGGACTCGTCCTTGCAGTTTCATGCGATGGTGACCCCGATGCATTCGTCTAATGAGGCTAATGTAGCGTCGTGTTTGTGCGTTCCTCGGAAACTGGATGCTCTAGGGGATATGTGTATAAAGACTTTGATCTGGAAAAGTCCCTTTTCGATCTCTCAAAAAATGTTTGAAACTGGAGAGATACTACTAGAAACCCCATTTGATTACTTAAATAAATATTGATTATTGAAATTGATTATTTCAATAAATATTGTATATGTTATTGTAATTTATTTTATTACCTAAAATGTTATCCGACAGACGGTATCCGATAGTCGTGTTGCCTTCCAGCGGCTGGTTTGTGTGTGTTGTTTTGTGTGTCTGCGACTCGCACGCACACACTCTAAAAACGGCTGCTCAACTAAGCATATCGACGTCAATAAATCATCCAATAATGCGCTGATGCTGATGCTGATGCAGTGCATGGCGCAAATGGCGCTGGAAACTCTGCTGTCTGCGGGATAGAAAAATGGGTAACATGGAGTTGGGAGTTGGGAGTTGGGAGTCGAGGTTGCATGCGAGGTGGGGCAAGGGCACCCAGATGCCGATCCCGATGCCGAATGCTGCGACTATGTCTTTGGCCATTTCCGTAGTAGTTACATACGAGATGCTCCTGCCCGCGTTGAGTGCTTTTTAACTTCATGGTACAACTGATGCTGATGCGGATGCGGATGCTGGGGCTGATGGTGATGCTGATGCTGATGCGGATGCTGATGCTAAGGCTGAAGCGACTGGCTGGCTGTGCTGCACTTATGTTTGCAGATTGTCAGCAGAAAATGCGAGAGCGCAGAGCATTCCACAGATTGAATTTTATTCGGTTGTGGTTATTGCAGCCATTACGACTGCTCCATACGCACAGAGAAAAACTGCAACGTTTTGCAGAGAATCCCAGGAAATAAGAATTAAAATCAGTATGTAATTCGATCGCTTGAGATCATTAAAAAATATTGTTGAGATGCGGTATTTGACCGCAACAAACATAGCGATAAAAGTTATCACATTAATATTAATTTGTGGAACAAAGGTATGATACTTAAACTTTTGGCTGCAGTCCTTTTAATATTTTGTAGGTACGTGCCAAGTATGTGAAATTCTTCGTGATTTTTGCAGAATCTCGGATAAGTTGTTGCCAATTTTGTTTACCTACCCACAGCTTTCTTATTTTGGTGTTGATTCTTACTTAGAGTGTACGCGTGCTCCATGCTTGCGGAACTCGCTGGTGGGTCGAGTTCTTGCATCAATTTACTGGATGGAGCTTATGTGCTGCCACTGCAAAGTGCCTGCCATTTGTTCGGATGAATTTCGCTGGCGTCAATTTTGTTTAGCCAGCAGCCACAACCCAGCTACTCAGCCACTCAGGCCCCACCCAACCCTATCACCCCTTCACCAGCCCAACCAAACAACCGCCCACCCTGCGCCAAAGTTCATTAAGTTTCATTTGTTTTTTTCTGTGCAAACGCCCAGCTACTTAACAACTTGTCTTTTACAACGACCCACATTGATGGCTGCGAAGGGGGTGGTGGCTGGGTGGTTGGATGGCTAGGTGGTTGGCTGGTTGGGTGGTTGGCTGGTTGGGTGGTTGGGTGGTGCGGTGAGCTGCTGCGGCAGCTAATCATTTTATCGTTAACGCCCCGCTGCATCGACTTGGCCCCATTGGGTTAGTCGCGTGAAAAATAGTTGCGTTATGGCAGGCTGACTGACAATCTTCACAGATTTGCTGGCGCCATTAATGCGATTTTAATGCTGCGATTTGATTGAGGCCAATTGACAGTTTGCCAGCGCGCTCCTTGCATCCTGCTTCCTGGCGGGAAATCTAATGGAATAAATAAGTGGCAATCGTAAGCTGTCTTAAAGCAGTTTGCTCGTGTAAGCACACCTCGAAAATGGATTATTAGCCTAAAGTTATTAGCTTAATCTTTAGTTAGGAGCATGCGGACCACGCCTTTCCTTTGCTTACTTTTCTTAAGAAGTACTAGCAAGTATAACATTTTTGCATTTCAGCCTGTGGACATGGTTCATTGCTGAGAACGCAATAAATTTGTAAATTCATTTGCCTATGCCTGCGCTAATGCACTTGAAGCATTGACCGACTGCTGCATCCCCAATTAAGGACTTGCACCCAATATTTTCCAGTTGCATGCGCATTCTGCACAGCTTTGCACCTTTGGCCGTGCACTTGCTGACCGCACCATCTCGACCAGGTGGGTCGAACGTTTAATTAGACTAATTAAAGCCCGGCAGGGGAAGCTGCATTAATAAGCTGCACTCTGCAGCTGAACCGGCCAACCGCATTGACCTGCAAATCTCCGCTCGACGGAGCCAGGACGGTTATGCAAATCAAGACAACGTCTCTGGATTTGAATGACAGCGTGTGGCAGTGACTGTGGCCAGTGCCGTTCGGTTGCAGCCAGAAATTGTCAATTTGAGATGCGGAATTCAGGGAGAGCTTTGGCAATTAACGGAATAATTGTCCTCCGGCTTTTGCATCCCACTTAAGCGTTTTTGTACAGCCCGACTTGGCATGCGAATAATGCTTGAGTAATTGCATGCATATTTCATGCATATTATTAGCATGTAATGAAATGAGGACTCTTCAGAACGCTGGGGATAATCGGAGCCTGCAGCAGAGGCAGCCCCTTGAAGCACATTTTACACAAAGGCCTTCTGCATTTAGCTTTTTTCGCTTTTAAAAACATTGCGACTCGTTCTCAATTTCTAAGAATTTGCATTTCTGCCTTTGACAACACTTTTTTCACTTTTGCCTCCGTTGTGTTTCTTTGGCAGTCGCTATCTATTGACATGGGACTTCGTCCCTCCGTCCGTCTGTCCGTCTGTCCGACCATCCCCAGGTCCACTCGTCCGGCGGAGTAAGTAGCCGGAGTACTGGGCCGGCTGTGAATTTCCGTTTCCGGTGGCCTGCGACACGCTTTGCAACAGCACTCAAGCGCAAAAAGTGCCTTTCAACTTATTTTCCTGTTTCCACTGCGCCATCTTCATTCGATGGACTTCTTGGGGGATCTCCTCTTCTCCCTCGCAATGAGTGAGTGTCCCTTTGTTTCGCATTTTTTCTGATTAGATTTTTATTCCCATGAATTTTCATTTCCGTTCGTGAATTTTTTATACGGACATACGTCCATCGCTTTATCTGCTGTTGGTAAATTCGTTCACGGCAAAAAAACAGCGGTTATCTTGTTGATTTTTGCACTATATAATTGCAGGAAAGCATTATCATCCATACAACATTAGGAACAACGTAAAGGAATTTTAGTATTCAAATTTTAGTTTCATATCTTTAGGTAAAAGAACGGAAGAGAAGTTTTTCTGAGTGCTTTAGATTCCCGTTGATAAACACAAGTCAGGCCAAGCAAATAAATAAGAAACGTTCGTTGGAAAGTGTATCTGGCGGATATCCTATTAATCGATAACTGTATCTGATACTGCGTGTGTATCTGTATCTTTAGCCGCATTCAGTCTCTCCGCTTGCCTTATTCCCCGGCGTCCGACTTAATGCATATTTCAAATTACCGGCACTTGTTGACCTGATTACAAAGCCGTTCCCTCCGGCACCACTTACCTCTTACACTTTGCTGCTGCTGCTGCTGCTGCTGCAACCGTCTCATAATTTAGTGCCCCTTTAATTAAACAGGTTAAATTCTTTGCGATAATGATTTTGTGGGCAATATTATAATAACATTGATTGCAAAAGCGCCGCAGGATAAGGTCGATGTGGAAGGGCGGCGCTGGCGTTTACAAAACAGTCCACCCATTGTGCAGCTTGTTTATCGAACCGAAATTAATTAGGGATTTTAAAGGGCAAGGTAAAAGCATAGTTCGCCAGACCGTTCATGAAATGTAAGTTAATGGAGTGGATCCGAGGATGAAGGGCCCAGCATGGGACTCCTGACAAGAGTTTTTATTTTTGGAATCTATCTTTAAACGTTTGCTAATTTAGGTAAAGCAACACAAGCTGTTAGTCTTCCCCTTTCTTCCATTTTCTAATAAGCTTGGAGTACTGTGAACAATTCTTAGGGATAACTAAACCCAAGCCTTTCATGAATGGTATTTGAGCTGCTGTCATAAATGTTTTCAAGTTGAATTAGTCGCTGCACAGTCAATTGGCTTTACTCTCAGCTGAATCGATTTCCATGCGCCCCAGGCAATCGAGACGACTCCCAGATGCGGCATCATCGATGACAACTGCACACAAGAGGAACCCACATGGAAGCGAACACTGGGAAGCGATCAACGTTCGAATGGGCAAAAACAATGGACTCAGTAGAGGGGTGGAAAGTGCAGGACATAAAGGAAAAGTTCAGGGACGTAAAAAATCTGGAACAAATTACCAATTCCAAGTTTGGGAGCGACAAGAGTGTTCCAGTGAAAAGGATACGCATGTGAGCACTGGTAGTATGCGAAAGTGATTCAAAAGTATTTATTTATATATTTTTGTGTTAAAACTTTCCAATTGTGCCTGCTTAAATATAGTTCATTATGATTCGGTTAGCTCAGAAAACGATTTAAGCCAGCATCTGATGCTATCAACCTCATTACCAATATGTACGCACCAACTTTGAAGCGCTCCAAAACAGTTTCACTACGAACACCCCTGGGTCGCATCCCATTTTTTCTGTGCCATTTGCAACAGTTTAATTCCATTGAATGCTTAAACGAGGACCAAGCAGTGCGACAAAGGCTTTTGTGTTAAATAGTTGAACGGTGCCAGGAATTATAATGAATCCAACACCGCACATGTTGCTCGTTGCGGGTGGATAAACCTGTGATAATTCAAATAATCAGGGAGCGGCAGCATCCGGCATTCGCATTCGCCTCGCCCTCGCATTCGTATCCGCACTCGTATCCGCATCCGCATCCGCATCCCGACAGCCAGTCAGCCAGTCAGCCAGTGAGGCAATGCAAAAGCACTTTATTTAAGTGAGTCCCACATGAATTGCACTTGGCTGTGCGTCCCTCTAACCGCCGTCTGTATGTTTGTCTGGCCGTCTGGCTCCCCTGACTGTTTGTATTTGTAACACTTCTTTGCATTTTTTATGCCCTGCCTTTGTAGGGGATGCACACAGGCAGCCAACTCTTTGGCTCGTCGTGCTCCATCTCCATCTCCACCAGCAGCGCCACTGCCATCCCATATCCCCAGAATCCACCGTCAAGTGCCTTTGGCAGCAGCTGTGTGGCATTCCTGTGGCGGCGGTTGTGGCGGTCTCTGCGGCGGGCGCTTCTGATTCTGAATCCGGTTCTGATTCCCATTTCGCACCACATCCCGATCCCACGGTCCACGCTGCTCATTACGTTGGGTTAGCTTGGCCTTACATCGGACTCAACTGCTGGCCAGCGCGAACTGAAATTCTTTCAACAATGGTTGAGCAACAATATGAGCTGCAACTCAAGTTGTTACAGCTTCAGGTGACCAAAAGTATCGCAAACAATGCCATTCAAATCGCGCTACTTTTAGCTAGCATTACTCAGCTACTATAGTGTTACTAGTGCTATTTAAATGTATATTAAATGCATGCCCGCTCAGATTTCTATTTTCAAATAGGTTTTTGCACCAAACATGCTAGACTCATTATGCAATTACAATGGAATGCGTTTGAATGCATTGCTCTGACTGAATGCCATTTCGACGGCTGGGGGGGCACATCAAATATGTTCGAAGCTCGAATAATATTTATGGTTGGCAGTAAGTGCTGTCGTTTGGCTATGTATTTTGCAATTTCTTTCGGGCATAAATCAACAGGACGTCGTCGGCCAGCCACATGCTACGAAATGCCCTGTCATTTCGTATTAAAACAGTTGCAGCAATTTATGACAAGACGTGCACTGGGCTTACCTTTAGTAATTTGCGAATTTTAATTAAAGGCACTGGTCAACAGCAGGCTGCATTTCAATCTACGCACTCGATGGGGAGCGGGGATTAAAGGAGCAATGGTAGGGGTCACACAGTTGGGCGTCATGTGCAAATGCATCAAAGGACATTTGCATTTGCCCGGCATTTGTAGATAATGCCCTGCGTCAGGAGGACAGCCGAGCTGGACTATCTCGGGCATACACAGAACAAAAAACACACTTACTTTGTGCGCATTTAAAAAATTATTAAAACTTTATTTTAAACTTTCTAACGCTGCTTTTCAATTTAAATTACTTCGATTGCAGAAAATCCTGTTCGAAAAACACTCCCGTGTTTTCTGAGTGCCGAAGACCGAAGGCCGGGCTATCGAGGTCATTATTAAATGCAAGTGCATCAGGAGTTCGGTTGCCTAGCATCCTGCTTTTGTGTGTCCAGCCTGGGTCCTACACTGAACGAAAACGGAACATAATTTGTTCGATTGTTGTAGTTATGCAGAACTATTAATGGCAGATGTACAATTTTTCAAAAGGCCGATACAATGTTTGAAGTTAATTTGCTGTTGATTGGTAATAGAACGTTTCTCCAAGTGCATGTGTATCCGGCGAGTGTGCTGCAGTGTGGGTGCTTCCTGTGTGCATTACAACTACATGGGAGCAAGTGGGCCGCTTGTACTACTAACCTCTTGCAATTTTCGGTTTTGAATTTGCTTAAATTGCATTATTGTCCTTGTTGTTGCTGCTGCTGGTGTATCTGCTCTGTGTGCTTTTGTTGTTGCTGCGGTGTTGTGGGTTGATGATGGGGGCGCCCCCACAATCTGATTGCCTTCCATTGTGTTTGCTGCTCAAATTTATCCCCCTGCAATTTTGTGCTTATTTGTTGTAGACTTGCCAGGCTTGCAGCTTTAACTAATTGAAATCGATTTTGGCCAAGTCCTTAGCCAGCGACGCATAAGGACACGGCCAGAAGGTTTCCGAGTTCGCTCGACGGGAATCGAGAATCATGTCAGCGTTAAGCCTAAATACGACAAACGCAAAGTGACTGTCAGGATTGCGGTTGCCAAATCGATTTTTGGGGATTTTCGCATTCGGTTGCAAATGAAGCAAGAGCGTAATAAAACTTGCATGTGCCTTAAGTGCACTTCAACTTTCAACTAGCAGAGTAGAAGGCCACTCTACACGTAGAGCAAAATCGGGCTTAATGTCATGAAAGCAATGCCTTTAATAGAGAGCATTAGAATATGGGAAAAGTGCCCAATTCAAGTTTTCCCAACTAGGGACACTGAATATTTGACATCACTGTCTATTTCTACTGCTTGTACAATATAGGAGTTTCAAACAATATTTCAGATTTTTATATATTTTAAAATTTAAATAGAAATGCGCGTATATAATATAACTTCTACTGCTTGTACAATATAGGAGTTTCTAACAATGTTTAAGTTGTTTATGTTTAAAATTTAAATAGAAATGCGCGTGTATCTTATATCATTTGATGCTATAACTAAAATTTAAATATGTCAAACCTCCAGTTTCCAGAACAAATTCCAATGTTCCTGGTTGCAATTGGAGTGTACCTTGCAGAGCCGTGTGTTTTCATGCGTAATTAGATGGCAATCGAACCACAGAGCGTAGGGCCTTGCCATAATTAATAGCAACAGAGCAGAAAAGCAGGCTGCACAATGGCACAACATGCACTCCAGTTCTGCTTTGATTACGAAAGTTCTTGTAAGGATGGGGAGCTCCGAAAACTTTGCCTATCCAAATGCACACGCCTCCGAAATGTCTGGACTCCACAAACAGTTCGATACGTGAACTGTAAGCTTTGGTATTGGCTGTATGCTAATTAGCCGAAGTTTTGCGCTTGGCTTAGATTTAACAATCCAGGCATCGAGTTAAGTAGTTTGATTTCGTTGGGGAACAAATACCACTGGCACGAATCGCACCGCTCCCATTTAAACTGAGTTTCCGATAACTTCAACAGTGGGCACATGCTCAACCTTATTGATATTTAAGCTTATTTATAAAACTAGTCTTTTTGTATTGTTTCCTAAACTTTAATGTTTAAATGCTCAGATTTCTCGGATTTTTTTCTATTGCCTTAGAAGGCTGTTATATTTCAGATAAGCTATTACCCACCTAAGCTCACAGCCTTCCTTAATTTAATTTGAAGGGCGTGCGCCTGAAAGTCTCGTTTTCATTGTTAAGTGGCCATCGATGCGTATACGCAACATCCGATGCACGCATTGATCTTTTACCTCTGTATCTTTCGTATTCCCATGTCATTCCACACACACATCTTGGATGTTACCTTACTGACATGACTTCAGAAAAGTTTGAAAACATTTGTGAAAATTGACAAAGTTTCAAGTCGGCAACAAACAGCTGGTAAACAGTGCAGCAGCATGCCATGCATGTTTAATATCGCTCTGAGTGAGTTTGTGCACCATAAGAATTCTTGTCGATTATAGGGCTTAAAAATATTAATATATGTGTGCTCATAACTTTAAAAAATCGAAATCCCATTTTGTACTTACTTTATTCCTTACTTTATTCATTTACAGCACTGTTTTCCCATGGTTTTCCTTTGTTTATGATCGAATGCGACCACAACTTCAGTGAATATCCCTTAACTCAAGTGTTTTTCCCAGTGTATCTGTGAGCGCGGTGTGTCTGTGTGTCTGTGTGCCTGTGTGTCAAAGGCATCTTGTGGTTGAGTTTACCTAGTGAAATTGAAGCCACATTGCGGCGGCCAGCGCCA